TTGACATTACCTTTAATTTGAAGATGTGGAGTGATGAATGGTTAGCGATGCGTTTAACCAATTCACTCGTTTCACTTCTGGTATTAATGCCTTTTCTTTCTCTTTCCTTCTTTTCTTTCTTCATCTTCTTGGCATTAACTTTCGATAACTTTGCCTTCACTGGAGATTTCTTCTTTCTAGCAAGTGATCTGGAGGACACAGAAGTAGAAGACATTTTCGAAGTCCTTTTGGGATCTAAAGGACAATTATTTTTTCCACAAATTGAACATTTGTTATTCCTGTCAGAACAGTTCTTTTCTGGTGACTGAGAGCTCACTGGTGTTGAATACAGACTTCTGAAAACCATGGTTAGAGGTTTTTTATTTTCAGAGAATGTGGTTTGCTGTTCACTAGGTTGAGACGAGAGAGTCTGAGATGCTTTCTCTGATTCCTCAGTTGTAGCAGATTTCTCACTATTCGTTCTGGTCTCAGGTATCACTACTTTCTCTGTTTCTTGATCTTCTGACTTGTCTTCAGTAGATGAGATCCCGGATTTTATATTTGCTTCTGTCATAGTTCCTTCTGATGCCGTCTCAGTTTGCATGCCTTGTGTTGCTGGTGCCATTGTAGCTGGTGAAGTGGTATTCATTTCCTCTCCCTTCCCTGCTGTGCCAGTTTCCTGCAGAGAGACCTCTACTGGGCCTCCTGAATCTCCTTCAATTCTCACTGAATTCAGTGAGAATTCATCAATTCGGGTTCGACTTGAACAATTCCTTGATATAGATTCCGATTCTTCATCAGGGTTAAGATCTGTGGATTTTTCGTTGGTTATTTTCGCCTCAGATATGACCAAATCTTTCTCTACTGCTTGATCTGACTTATCTTCAGTAGGTGAGATCCCGGATTTTACTTTTGATTCTGCCATAGTTCCTTCTGTTGCAGTCTCAAGTGGCATGTCTCGTGTTACTTGTGTCATCACAGCTGGTGATGAAATAATTTCCTTTTCCTGATCCACTGTGCCAGTTTCCTGTAGGAAGACCTTTGCTCTCTTCTCTAATGGATCTCCTAATTCCCCTTCAACCGATAGGTCCCTAGACCTCTTCAGTGAGAATTCGTGAGGCTGGGTTCGACATGACGAGTTCCTTGTTGAAACCTCCATTTCCTCAGTTGAAGCATTTGCATTGGCACTGGACGTTTCCATTGGCAGCTCTGGTACTATTTCATTTAACGTTTTTCCTAATAAAACCTCTGTAGACAGAGTATCGAGTATTTCGTCGCTTTGCAAATCAAATCTTTTTTCAGTTACTGAAGACTTCAAACCATTAAGTTGCTTTCTTATTAGTTGGAATGACAAATCAGAAGAAATGATTGTATTTTCTTTGCATTCTGAAGAGCAACTGGAATCCTTGGCCGTTTCTTTAGAAGGAAGAATTAATGAATTCTTTGATAATTCCCTCAGTAGAGGTTGAATAAATGATTTCGGTGTAACTTTACATGGCTTAGAACAAGCATCTCCCTCTACTGGAGGAGAATCATCCGGGATGTAAGATGGTGCTTCGTCAGCCATATTCCTGGAGAAATGTTTGTTGCAAAGGATTGCCAGTCAAGGTGAGTCACTTAACGTTGGAAGTATCTTGAAGTCTGTACCAAATCCGTCGTATTATTACATGAGATCTATTCTGTAAAAGAGAAAATAAACATGTACACGCAACTTCTAGTAAGTTGTAAATTGCATGCATTAGCAGATTTTGTTAGTTTAAGGTATTTGTTTCCACATGTATTACTCTTAATCAAACAAAACCCATAGCGATTTAAAGCTATGGTGGTAAATCATTCCCCTTACCTGTATGTCACTCTTAATAAAGCACAACTTTGCACTATGAACTGCAATAAAATTCTACACGGAACGTAGCAGTATGACTTCAGATGTGTCAGTTGAGAAATGATCACCTTGCAAGCGCTGAGCAAGCACTGACTGAAACCTCGCCGCGTCCGCTATTTATACAGCTCAGACGCGAGACAGGTTAGGACGTGGTATTCCAGTTGCCATGCAATACATTCAAACTTTTGTTTCAATAGTTTCCTTTTAAAACAGTTTATTACCCCCTTTAGAATGTGAGTTAAGTGTCTTTGCATATGTCTGACATCCGTTATACTCGTTGAAAATTCACGATCAGTTTTGTAGGTGACATTCCTTCGTTACTGATTATTTGCTTCTTTTTTAGTATAGATTTGATTATGTACTTTATATTATATGTTCTCACGTACTTGCGTGCAGGCATATATTACAATATAATTACCCATGTATGTGTGTCTGTGATCCTGTGTTTCCATATGTAATTACTACATTTATTTATTTCTGTATAACTTATGAATTGCTAGTGACACTTGAAAGCTCTTGCAGGTTGAAACTTGGAATGGTACGTCACTACTGCGTCACGGATTTTAAAATGATTTTTCCTTCTAACTCTGCCTATATATGTATACCTCTTTTATATTGCTGAAAAAGATAACTTACTAG